AGAAAAATAATTACAAATTTTTTATTTTTTTCACTGTACAATCGATTGCTCTTAGAATGTAATCGATTGCATAGTGCATTTTGCGCAATTTTTGAAAAAAAACACCGATGCAATCGATTGCTCCCAGAGTGCAATCGATTGTACATAGTGAAATTTTGAAGAAAAAAAATCAGCAATTTCAAGCTTGTCAATTTTTGTTCCAATTTTTCTTCGTTTTTGAAAGATATATCATTAATTCAAATTTTGGCTCCAATTTTTCTTCATTTTTGAAAGATATACATTAATTCAAAATTTGGCTCCAATTTTTCTTCATTTTTTGAAAGATATATCATTAATTCAAATTTTGACTCCAAGAATTAATTGTCAAGCCTAATTTCATTTCTCAAACCAAACTCTAAACCACCACTAATCCCAAGCCTAAACTCTATAAATAGAGTCCTCATTTCATTCAAATCTCAAGCTTTTGATAGCCAAATTCACTTTGCTAAAAAATCTTTCAGTTCCCTCCATCTACCAAATTCACTCAAAGTTTCATTTTCAAAAAAAATTAGTAAACTTTGCATTGAAGCTTACTAATCTTTGAGTTAAACCTTCGTCCAAACACTTATTCTTCATGAATTCCCTACATCCAAGCTTGGGAAATTAATTCTTGGGGTTGAGTTGAAGCAAGTTCTTGAAGTTGTTTTGATAATTCTCTAGATCTACCTTTGATAAGTTGGATCTTCATCTTTCACAATGTAATCTCTTGTTGGTCTTTGGATTTGATTCATTGAGCATTGTTTTGTGATTCCATTGGTGCTATTTTCTCATAATTTGATAGAATTTTCGTGCTCAATTAAATCCATGATTATAAGGTATTTGACGAAAAATTTAAACAAGAATTTGGCCTTTTAAAAATCAGATGCAGAACCCTAACTTATTCTTACATTCAATTGAAGCATGTTTGAGCATGTAAATATTAATCTTATCTAAGATATTTAAGTATTTTACGTTTTAGATGATTAAACTAATTCTTCAAATTATATATATATATATATATATATATATATATATATATATATATATATATATATATATATATATATATATATATATATATATATATATATATATATATATATATATATATATATATATATATATATATATATATATATATTAAGCATAACTAAACTTCAATAGAAAGATATGAGTATTGTGACAAGATTGATGCTATAATTTTGAGTGACATTAATTATCACACTAAACGTTTGGTAGGAGAGTTGAGAGAGATATGAGAAGATAGTGAACTTGTATAAGAGGGATCATGAAAATGATGATTTAATTTGGTCTCAAGTTATCAATGCACGTGGAATTAATGAGACTGTGATCTATACTAGGAGGACAAAGCAACTTGCAGCTGCAAGTACATCTAGAATAGCAATAGCACAACAAATGGTGTTAAAAGATTATTGGAGTTGTTTGAAAATATATACGTAGAAGAATTTTTCTATTGTTTATTTTTTTTAAAGGAAGAAGAAGTGTAAAATTATATATAGGATTCAAGTTTTTTTTATAAGATGTATCAGTCAAAATTACTTTAAGTTTATATTTGACTTTCTTTATTCTCCTATACTCTTGTGTTAGAGTGTTGTGAGATGAAGTTAAATATTTACTTTGAAGAGTGTGGATGTATTGAGGATTGTGGGGTGATTGAGAGTAAATTATATGTTGTAATATTTTTCCTACAATATTATTTTCTGATTGTCATTTAATAATGACCGTGACTTTTTTTTTTTTCCGATTTTATTTCTTCTAAATTTTGTTTTTTCCCAACAAAGACATTGATGAAGACTTGAAAGAATATAATTGGGTGGAGAGAACTAAGAAGAATATGTTGAAGAAGAAAACATGTTTGATGATAATTTATGATTTGTATGTTTGTTTGAATTTTGATATAATAGTACTCTAAGTTTGAATTTAAGATGTGGTATTTTGATTTTAATTTTAATTAAGACTTGTTGAATTTGATTAAGAGTGTTAGATTAATTTTTGTGCTTTGATATTTGATTTTATGATTTTTTTTATGGATATTATGTTATTTGTTTAATTTTTCATTAAGTATATGTATTATAACTAATATTCATAAAATTAGTCTTAGAAATCGTCAAAATAACATTTATCCCACTATCTGCTAATTGATAACTCTAATTAAAGTTACATTTAGTTATAAAAAAATTATTAGTTAATTAATTTTGTTACAATTTAGTTAAGTTTGTAAATTGTTCTTGACACATAGTAATACACATCTTATATTTATTAAAAGAATCCTTAACAATTGAATCATCTCTTATTTTATTGATCTTTTCTCTAAGACTCAACCATTCTTCCCAACATATTCCTATATATCAAACCTATAACATTTCTAATAGACAATAATACACTCATTAAAGCACATAGGCTTTGGTGAAAGAAACAAATAAATGTACCAAAAAATGAGCAATACCAAAATCATATGGCTAGGTTGGGACTTAGAACATCAATTTAAGCTTCAACAAAGGAACATAGCTGCAACATACAACTACTTCATCCTAGGTTAATATAATTAGACAATAGATAACTTGTTTGAAACAATCTCTACATAATTCAGAACAACACTTAAAACATTAAATAAACAGCTCAGTTATGAATGTAGTCAACAACACCGGTTCGATTATTGACTTAATTATCGGGCAAAGATATGTTAATATCGGTTGCAGACTTCATTGAGTCCGGCATGGAGGGCATGTTAACCCAGTTTTCTCGACGAAAGGCCGAGGGAGACGTAAGGTTTGAGTTAAGTGTTCCGGAATTTTGTAGTAAGTGTCCAGACATGACATCTTCCCTTTCGCCATTGGTTGGTGGTGGCGCGGAAGACACTGCAATATGTGTGGTTAAGGTGGTTGTTGCGTAATCAGATTTTGGCTTCTTTGGTTTCTGGTCTTGCTGGTTACTTGGCAGAAAACTTCCAACCACTACCTGATAAGAGAAAATGAAATAAGTGATTATCAAAAGCGCTTATAACATAAGTGATTATGAAAACATAAAATGAAATCAATCTGTTTTTGTTTTCGTAACAATCAACCATAAGGATATGGTGATCATAAATGTTTACCTGCACAGGACTGGCAGCTACTAGAAGACCGGCAACTCCACCGCCTACAACACGACCGTCGGGGCTTGACAAAGAAACACTCATTCCACCGGACCGGCTTCTTGTTCCTTGACTCTCTGTAGGCATGAACGATCCAGACAGCGAAAGTATCTCAAAACGGCCCTAGCAAAAAACCACATACAACACATGAATTATGAGATTTTGTACCAATCAACACAAGCTTCTTGTAATCATAAAAAACCAAAGTTTTAAAGTTATAAAATAAAACAATGAGCAGCACCTCATAGGTCAAAGTACCGCCAGAAGAATCGGGCTGACGAAGTGTAACGTTTGAAATTACACCACTCGCGGATAAGATGCATATAGCTCGCGGTCCTTGCTGGGAAAACGATATAACCTTCATTGTAATGTCCTGAAAACAACAAAAAGAGTAAAGTAAATAACATTACATAACTGTCTCTTTAAAAATGTTATCTCTGGAGCTTACTTCGCCAGCATTGACGGTAATGATATGCGGCATAAAGTTGGTACCAACCGAGTCACCTGCAGAAGTAACAACAATAGCTATTAACAGAATTAAATTAAGCAGTAATGTCACCAAAGGCATGAAAACAAATTTACCAAAAGGATCAACTCCAACTTTTTTCGCCTGCTTGAACTCCATCCCCTTCGGTTTCCCTGGCTTCCCCGACAAAAACTCATTAGTAAAAGGACCTGAAGACGAGATCGGCAAAGGCGATAACGCCATACCAGCAACCGACCCGTCTGGCCCATATTTCCTTGGCCTACCCCTTTTCTTCTTAATCCCCCCTCCATCCATTCCCAAACTCACCGGCGAGACACCAATAGCTCCTCCACCTCCTGATTCAGAAACAACACCATGCTGGCTTGGAGCTTCACTCCTCGGTGCCATATGATACGCTGACGGAGCTTCCGCTCCGATCACCGTAACTCCAGTGCTGCTACCTTCTCTCCCTTCCATGCAAATATCAAACTTTTCCCTCTTATATCTATTCAATCAAACCAAAATCTGCATGATGCCAAAAACCAAGCAAAAATGTACTAAGAAACCAACAGAAAAATCTATTGAACCTTCTTCAACATGCAAAGAAGTAGAGAAGCTTAAGTGAAAAACCCATTAAAGGATTCTTACAGAAAATGAAGAAAAAAAGTAAAAAACATAAACTTTGGTTTTTTGTTAAGCTGAATTATCATAGATCTATTTAGAACTTCATTAAATTACAAACCAAAAAAAACACAAACACAAACAACAACAAATGTTGTTGTTTCTTTGCAAATGTTCTAACTTTCAAGCAGTAAAATCAGAAATTAATCTCCCAACTAAAGACAAAAAAAAAAACATTGAACTAAATTTTATAATTTTAGTGAGATATTTTGCAAATTTATGATTTAAAAACCCACTTGGGTAAGAAAAATCTAAAAACATGATTAAAAATAGAAACTTTCAACTAAACATTCAAAACATTTTTTATTATAAAAACACTCATTTACTTAAAATATTTCTTAGCCCTGAGCTTAAAACAGTGCAAAAGTCATTAAAAAAAATTCAAAGGCTTTTACAAAAATAGAAAAATAAGCTACACCCTTTTGCATAAATCTGCTTCATGTTCAGCATTTTCCAAAACTTTTAAAAAACAAAAAGCTGAAACTCAAAATTAGAAGAAAAAAAAAAGTAAATAGTTTTTTACTTACCAGTATCAAACACTGGATATTCTTCAGAACACAAAGATCATGACATGTCACTATGATGATTAAAAACACTTAAGCTAAGTGTTAGTAAGATTTTCTTTTAGCTTCCTCAAGAACTTAACTAGTTCACTCAAATAAAAAAGTGAAAATTCTTAAATTAAAACAAAAAATAATAATAATAATAATAATAATAAAAAAGAAGAAAAAAAAGTACAAAAGGTAGGAAACAAGAAGCCCAGAAATTCAGAAAACTTACAAAATTTGAGAAGCTGAAAAAAAATCTTGTTGGGTGGTTGTTTTTTCCAAAGCTTGTTGAATTGAAAAGTGAAAAAAATTTAATAGGAAAAAAAGCTGTAAAGCAGAAAATAAAATAAATACCACAACTACAAATACAATAATTAAATAATAATAATAATAATAATAATAATAATAATAATAATAATAATAATAATAATAATAATAATAATAATAAAGAAGAAGAAAAAATATAATAAAGGATAATAAAGTAGGTAAATATTTAAGATTTATATTTTGAAAAAAATTGCTAAGCCCCATAAATAGAATTTAGTTAAGAGCAATTTCAGATCCGTGAGGGGCAATTAATTTTTTTAGGTCAGTGGCTAATATTGTAAATTTGTTTTGTTAAAAGAAAAAAGTTAAATGTTACTTAGATGGAAAATAAGAGTGGTGACTTTATCTTTTCTATTTTCAACAAATGTATTTGTTTTTTCATGTAAGGCTCCAAGCTAGGTAGTAGATGACCAACCATTCATATTATTTGATCCCACTTAATTAGAGGTTTTGTGTTTGAATTTTTTTTAATATTTAGTATTATTATATTTTTAATAATAAAATTTATCAGTTATTATGACATTTTTAATTTAAAAGATTAATTTCTATAATTGTATATATTTTATTTTTATTTAAAATATATTATTAATTAGTGTATGATTTTGCTAGAGGAAAGTTGCATGATCTAACTAATAAGAAAAAGAGAAACTTAGAAAGATCATGTATATTTATTACTTGAAATATGAATAGATATAGTGGCACGTGACACTGGGGATTGGTCACTTTAGTAGGTATTCCCCTATTGGGAAAGACTTGCCATACCTTACACGTGAAAGATATTGAAAATCATATTTATTTTGAGAGGAAAGTAAAAGCTATTTTTGTATTTGAAGTAATTTATATTTAAAAGATGTTGTTATTTAAAAGTAGTAGAGTTTTTAAGGTTGTTAGTTAGAAATTGTAAGTTTTTGAGATTTTTTAGTTAGAAGCAGTAGTTTGATATAATCAGAAGTTGTTATTAATCAGAAGTAGAAGTTTCTGAGATTACGTCCAGAAGTATGCTTAGTTTATGGGATTCTGGAGTTGAGTTTGTTAACGTAGCTGTTAAGTATAGTATTTCCTAGTTTGTACATTTTAACTTAGTTATTAAGTTTACGTTTGTTAAGGCCCACGTAGCAATTTACTTTGTGTATAAATAGACTAGTAGTAGTTGTCATTTGTAACAATCATTGTTCAATCATTCTTCCTTAAAACTCTGTAGTTGCCATTCTCTTGCTATCATAAACATATTCTTTTTGTTCATCATTGGTTCTTGTGGACTAATAATTGGTATCTAAAACTTCGATTTGATCCACATGAAAACACAGGGAAACACGAGTGAAACAAGAGCGTTTATGTGATTGATTTTCGTTCTAGGTTCGTGTTGAATCTTTGAACAAAATTATAACAGAATCGCATTTTCTGATTCTGTGGGGTTGGGAAATATTGTGCTTGTGAGATCTAAGTGAGTTGTACATGGTTAAGGATGAACGAAAACGGTAATCTGAACACCAAACTTCCTATTTTTGATGGTAAGAACTAGGATCGTTGGATGATTCAGATGGGCGTGTTGTTCGGTGCTCAAGATATTCTTGAGCTTGTTACCGAATGTTATGTTCCAGTTGCAGAAAACACAATGGAAGAGTGGAGAAACGCACAAAGAGACAAGAGGAAGAAATATCATAAGGCGTTGTTCTACATCCATCAGTGTGTGGATGTGAACTTGTTTGAGAAGATTGTAAATTCAACAACGTCAAAGGGTATATAGGATATACTGGTCAAATGTTATGGTGGTGATGCATCAGTGAAGAAGGTAAAGCTTCAGTCCCTGCGAAAGCAATATGAGAATCTCAACATGAAGAATAACGAGAAGATTTCTGAATACATCTGTAGAGTGATTATGATCACTAATAAGATGAAGGCTTGTGGAGAAAACCTTTCTGAACAAGTAATCATTGAGAAGATATTGAGGTCTCTTACCCCTCAATTTGATTACATTATTGTAGCAATTGAACATTCTAAAGATCTGGACACCATGAGAATATAAGAGTTGCAAAGCAGTCTAGAGGTGCAAGAGTTGTGTCTGACTGAAAGAACTTCTGAGAGGCAAGTTGACCAGGCTCTGAAGGCTTCTTTTGTCAAGTAAGACCAGAAGCAGAAAAGTCACGGTAGGTCTCAGAAGTCAGAAGTCTTCTACTCTGATGAGAAGAAACATCAGAAGGGAAAGGAGAAGTATGATGAGAGAATGGTTCAATGTTACTATTGTAGCAGGTTTGCCCACTTTGCTAAAGATTGTTGGTCAAATAAAGAAGAAGCAAAAATAGCCAAAGGAGATTCAGATGATGAGCATGTGCTATTAATGACTTATGAATCTGATGAGGAACCTGTGAGATTGTCATTTTCTAATTCTGAAGGGGAAGAAGATGACTCTGAATATTCTGACTCTGAAGGAGTGTTTGAATATGAGTCAGGATCAGAAGATGACGTTGAAGATTCTGAAGACCAGTTAGAGTCAGAAAATGACTCTGAAGCAGAAGAGAAGTCAGAATCTGAAGGCAATTTTGAGTCTGAAGAAGAATCAGAAGATGAATCAGAATTTGAAGAAGATTTTGCTTCTGAAGATGAGTTAGAACTTGAAAGTTCTGACGAAAAGCTAGAGTTAGAAGATGAAGAATCTTCTAGAGACTCTAAAGATGAATTAGATGGTGAACCTGATTCTGATCGAGATTTTGATCAAATGGTCCATGTGAGTTCATAATGTTGATGTGGGTCAATTTTCATGAGATTTGACTGTCAATTGGCCACAATTGACTTTTTCCCCAATACAGCTGATTTCTAGGTCAACTGTCCAATTGACTGGGCAAAATTTGGAATCAAGACTTGAAACTTGGTATGGATAAACTTAGGAGTCCAACATGAAGCATGAAAGTCATCTTAGGCATTTTAGGTCAAAATATCTTTGTTCAAACACAAACCCTAATTTGGGTCAACAGTGCAAGGAGAAGTCTTGAGCAGAGGAAACCCTAACTGGATCTTGAGCTCCAAGGGTCTTGTGATGAGAAAATATTGAGGAAATGGGAGGGCAAATTTTGGGGTACAACAGTTGCCCCTGTTCAATCTTCTTGAACCTGAAGAGTTAGATTGGAAATTTTGCCTTTCGTGACTCGAGGGTAAAAGGAGATTGGACACTAGAGTGCCCGGAAATTTGCACTCGCATGTTGGAGTATCATCAATGTGATGTCGGGAATGGGCTTATAGATGCCATTTGGAGAGATGGTGGATAGGGAGATGGGCTTATAGATGTCATTCGGAAGTGTTGATCGCATAAGAGATTCCTTAGCGAGAACTTGTGTATTTGAGAAAGACAGATGTTTTCCTGGCTTGTTACAGGTGTTTGATCTTCAATCTCCTCATGCAGATATGCCCTGGCTAGATACAGGTGTTAAATCTACAATCGGTTGCTCACAGATATGCCCTGGCTGGATACAGGAATCGAATCTGGAAATAGTCGTCAACAGATATGCCCTGGCTGGATACAGGAATCGAATCCGGAAATAGTCGTCAACAGATATGCCCTGGCTGGATACAGGAATCGAATCTGGAATTATGATAGTTGCTAGATATGCCCTGGCTGGATACAGGAATCGAATCTTCGAACTCTTCAGATGTGCCCTGGCTAGATACAGGAATCGAGTCTAGAAATGTGGTCAACAGATATGCCCTGGCTGGATGCAGGAATCGAATCTGGAATCGTGACAGCTGGATATGCCCTGGCTGGATACAGGAATCGAATCTTCAAACTCTTCAAACGTGACCTGGCTAGATACAGGAATTGAGTCTGGAAACTGATCACTCACAGATGTGCCCTGGCTAGATACAGGTATCGAATCTGGAATTGTGACAGTTGAAGGTAGTTGTCTTTGGGATTGTCTTTTTCCCTGAAAAGGCAAAAACATCAGTTGTATGCAATGTCATGATGTATGAAATGCATGATGTCATGATGTTCACATGAGATAGTGTTGTATGCACTTTATCATGTATGTAAGCAAGATGTATGGAATGTGAAATGTTTATGAATGTATTTTCGTCTTAGGAAAATAAATCCTTGACGACCGGCCGGGGAATTAAATCCTGGGCTGATGTTGAAGAGTAGAGTTCTTCGCTTCCGCTGGGGATGACGGTTGTAAGAATACACCGGTAGGAGAAGATGACTCCGTTGAGGAATACACTTGTTGGAGAGATTACTTTGTGGGGAATTGCTCTGTGGAAGAGATACTTTGCTGAAGTTTTGAGGAGAGGCCTGCTGAGGATTTCAATGATGGATTCCGCTGGGGATAATGATGATAAACTCCGCTGGGGATACCAAAGATAAACTCCGCTGGGGATTGTGTTGATAAGTTATGTTGGGGAACTTTGATGAACTCCGCTGGGGATAGGAAGAATTTTGCCGAGGGCGATCTTCCGTGGCAATTAGCTGAGGATAACCCAGTTATAAACCCTTATGAGGAATAACTTTGAACAAAGCTCGGGAGAGACGTCTGTACTCTGCAGGGGATAAGCTTCCACTTTCCTGGGGAAATTTTTGGAATTGCACTGGGGTATTGATATTCCGTCGGGGAACCATCTTAGGTCAAGACTGCCGGGGATGCTTGCTAATGAATGCCTATACTCCACTGGGGAATGTTGTTATCTTGTCCTACTCTGTGGGGAGTTGAGAACTTGATCACATCCTTCAGTTAGATCTACCTTGGTACCTTGGCGGACAAAGCAACCAGACTGCATCAGACAACTTTACATTGCCCCATGTTTCTGATGTCACCTGTAATTAGTCTTTTGTTTCATATGCAAATATTTATGAATCAGCAATTTAATGTCAAATGCATATATCAAAAATGAACATTGGACGTTCTTCGCAAGACAAAACAGAAAAAGGAAAAACAATGGGCAATTTGTTTGGAAAAGTGAACTTGTATTGATTTTGAAATTTGCATGTGAATAGGCGTTTTTGTACAAGAGGCTGACATCCTAGTAAGAGAATGCTGTCGAATAACATAGAGTTTATACAATTTTGAAAAGGAAACAAAACAGCTATGTGCACAA